ATATACTGCAGTTATGTCACGCTGATTGTGGCGAGGGCATGTGCTATAGTGCACTCGTTACCCTTGCCACGCGTAGGCGTATGGGCAAGGGTATATGAGTCGATTTGTCAGTGTTTGTGTAAGCAACTAATCTGAACAAGTGGCTCCTGCTCTCAGGATAAAAACTCTAGAGACTCAAAACTAGTTTTTCTGCCTTTATTAGACTGATTTCTTTCATTTTAAGAGCTTTCCACTCACTTTTTTAGGTTGCAAAAGCTGGCAAAATCGAAGTAAAGAGTGCTCAACTGGGCAACTTTTTTGTTACAGCAGTGGCAGAGTTTTTTGTGCCACCATAAGAAAGGTAGCATCATTTCACTCAAAACTTATGTGGGGATTTTCTTACTTATCTTTCTTTGGTATGATATGACAGTGTAAAAACTGTCCTAGGTCAAATACGGCCTCTTGAATCTCAGTAGAAAAGGTAGCCAGTATCCTGAAACTGGCTTAGAGTAGAAAGAAGTCTGCAAGGAACTAGTAGCGCCAACTAAATGTGTCAAGAGAGCTTTTACAACTTAGAAAACCTCAAGCTTTTGAGGGCCTAACTGTGTATGTGTAGCCGTGTTGGCCAGTGATGGGCGATTCCGAGTCCGGAGTATTCGATTCTTCGATTCCGAATGGAATCGTACTCGTATCGAAAGAGAAGTAGGAATCGTTTGAAACGATTCCGAATCAAACCACACCCAGCCACACCCTTTAATATTAATAATAGTTAATTAATCAGTGGTTAATACATCGATTATTCATCATTATTGCATTTTTATTGCTGTAATTGATACCACGTGGCTTTGCGCATGCGCAGATGTAATACTCGGGATCGGTATTCGATTCCATCGATTCCAGTCTCAAAAGTATTCAGAATCGGAATCGAATGCAAATTTCTGGAATCGCCCATCACTAGTGTTGGCACTTGAACCACACCTATACAATTAATTAGTCTATTATTAGCCACACCTTTCATCAATCATCAAAATAAATCTATTGCTTGTGTGGCAAGGGTATGCACTTTTAGTGCTTTTCATTAAAACTGTTACATACAGATTGTGTCGAGGGTATGCCATTTAGTGCTCTCGTTCTGTCATTCTGTCCACACAGTTTAATTGATTTGTAAAAAAATTATCTTTTTGTCTGAGCAGTCTAGAGCTCTATTTCTTCTTCTAGCAACAGATAAAGTTGCTTTCTTTCATCTAGTTATGCTCTTGTAGCATCCCGTGGCACCAAAAGCTGTGAACTGCTAAACAAGGGACCTCTCTCCAGGTGAGAGCTCGTGTTTCACTCTACAGGGCCGAAATTTGCTTCAGAGGTAGAAAATCCCATCTAACGAAAAACAAAAAGAATGATTTTGTCCTAACTTCGTTGTTTGTGAGTTACAGTTGCTCAAAGTTTGTGATTTAGCCTCTTTGAGAATTTTTCAGGCGGCACTGCGGAAAGCAGGAGCAACCAAACTCTCTCAGTCTCTTTTAAATATCTAGAAAAATTTTCTGTGCCAACTCTTTCTTGGAATAGAGCTTCAGATGCTAAAATAAATTCAGCTTTTCTTCTTTCCCATGTGCCATGATTTAGTTAGTTGTTGACCACACCCATAGCTTATTTTAATTATCATTATAACTATGCAGTCCATAATAATATTTTTCAAATTTCTTAAAATATCACAGTACAAGTAATACATATCACTCAAGTGAATTCCAGCAGGCGAGTCCATTGCACCATAGTGCTTCATTTGTGTAGCATTTATGCATGAAATTGATTATTATTGTGCTTATTACATGTATTATGGTTTATTATTAATTGTTTATTATTATTTGTTAGTATTATTGTTGTTATTATTTGTTGTTGATATAACTTGTGTTGAATAGGTTGCCCTATCCAAGGTGGGGAGTGTGTCAGGACTGGGAATTACATTCAATTAATTGATTATTCATTGTCAATAATATTTAAAATGATTATTATTCATAGTGTGTTTTGTGTGTATATGTAGACATTTTGTTAAGGGATTAGTCTCCCGACTAGTCCAATAGTTCTCTATACAGTCCTATGATCTGTTCAATTGAGCAGAATATTTTGAGAAAGAGATATTTGAACCGAAAGGTCTTGTTGTTATCGTTTTAGTGGCGCATTATCTGCAACAGCTGAGAGTGGCGGATTTTGACTGAGACTGGAGGTACGAGGACCAAGTGGAACTAGAAGACATAGAACCGGATGGGACAGACAGTAGAAGAGAGAACCAAAATAAAATGATACAAATGAAAGAGATTGACCTGCAGGAAGGCAAGAACTGGTCTAGCCCCCAGAAAAACAAACAAACAAAAAGACAAGAAAAATAAATAGAACAAAATAAATTAATAAACATAAGCAAAATTAACAAAAGAGAAAAAGAAACTATTATGAGCTTGTTTGAATCAAAAATTATGGGTGAAGAGAGTTTGGAGCAAACAATACATGGACACATGACATGAAAAGTGTGGTGATTTATCTACGAAGCATTCTCTTCGAATTACATCCTGTTCTTAATTTTAGGGTGCTCGGGTGTAGGGTTTAGGGGTTATGGTTTAGTGTTTAGTTTTTTAGGTGCTCGGAAACAAATTACCTTCCCCTAATTGCTGCTGCAATATTTATCTCCTTTTTTACAGTTTTCACTTTCAAATATATTCTTTTTACAATAATATTTCTTATTAGATTCATTCATAGCATTAAAATGGGCAGCTACCTCCACCCCACCACCTTCATACAAGCCTCGCCTTGTAGTAGAAATAAACGATTATGTAGTTTGTTACTATGGTTATATTATTATTTGTGCATGGTATGCATGTAGTTATTATTAGTGTTTTCATAGTTAACCACATCCTATGCATACAGTATAAATTAGTATCATTTTGATTCATGCTCTCTCTGCTAAGCTCTCTCTCTAAGTTCTCTCTGCTCTCTCTCTAAGTTCTCTCTGCTCTCTCTCTCTCTTGAGTATTTTTCCTGTATTCGTTTTGTGAGCTCCCTCTCTCTTAACTTATAATAAAACATTATCAAGTACAGGTTACGAGCTCTTTGGTACACCGATCTAAATGGAGGACTGTATATAGGTCTGACGCGCTCCCTCGGATTGCTGGCTGTACCGCCGCTACTTCTATAATGGCACCTTTAGAGAAGAACTCGTGTTATTCGTACTGTATTATATAACAATGACACACTGCGCATGCGCAGTGTGTCTCACAAAAAAAGTATACTAAATAATAATAGTTCCCAACACACTCCCCCCTTGGCTGACCAAGGTCAGCCAATAGACACAAACAATAGAAAGATAATAATAAAGACCACAACTCAGTAATAAGTAATAAATAGTAGTGATCCGGCCTATAACTGGTAACAAAAATGGTAAATAATTTATAGTCTTATTAATAACAAGATAATAATACTATTAATTGTTACAGTTCCATATGATAAGAGTACTCACAATAGATGACATAAAGTAGTTATATCAACGATCGAGCTAACATCTTATCCCTTGCTTGTTGTGCTGCTACACGTCTAGATCGTGATGTGAGGGGTTTGCCTTGAGAGCGTCTGATTTGAGGGTCCTGAGATCCCTCATGAGAGTCCTTATATCGACATCTGACTTGAGAGTCCTTAGATCCATCTTGAGAATCCTGAGATCCAACTTGAGAGTCCGTAGATCGATGTCTGACTTGAGAGTCCTGAGATCCATCTTGAGAGTCCTTAGATCCATCTTGAGAGTCCTGAGATCCAACTTGAGCGTCCTGAGATCCATCTTGAGAGTCCTTAGATCCATCTTGAGAGTCTTTAGATCCATCTTGAGAGTCCTGAGATCGATGTCTGACTTGAGAGTCCTTAGATCCATCTTGAGAGTCCTGAGATCGATGTCTGACTTGAGAGTCCTTAGATCCATCTTGAGAGTCCTTAGATCGATGTCTGACTTGAGAGTCCTTAGATCCATCTTGAGAGTCCTGAGATCCATCTTGAGCGTCCTGAGATCCATCTTGAGAGTCCTTAGATCCATCTTGAGAGTCCTGAGATCGATGTCTGACTTGAGAGTCCTTAGATCCATCTTGAGAGTCCTGAGATCCATCTTGAGAGTCCTTAGATCCATCTTGAGAGTCCTGAGATCCATCTTGAGAGTCCTGTATTTCTAATGGGTATAGCCTCTGAATAGGTCTATTCAGAAGCTTTGTCTTGCCATCTTTAAAGTGTACTTTGACTACTGCTGCTCTAGTGATTCCATCTTTTCCTGTGATTGTGTCCTCTACTCTTCCTAGTTTCCAGAAATTGCGCGGTACGTTGTCTTCGTGTACTATTACAATGTCCCCTACAGATATAGGCGTAGTCCTGCTGTTCCTTGCCCTAATCCGCTGTCTTTCCCGTAGTTCTCGTAAGTATTCCATATGCCATTTCTTCCAAAACCCTTTCAATACTGTATCTAAATATTCCATTCTCCTTCTTACTTCTGTATCATAGCTTTGATTTACCAGCTCCTTGTACCCTAGATGATCCGGTAGGCTTAATATCCTTTTCCCTGTTAGTAGGTGTGATGGTGTAAGTGGCTCACCATCTTGAAATGTGGTAATATATGTTAGTGGCCTGGAGTTTAACACTGCTTCTACTTCTATAGTTACTGTCATCAATTCTTCATGGGTTAATTTCGCCTTTCCTATGTACTTCCTCAAACATCTTTTTGTTGATTGCACTAATCTCTCAAAGAGCCCTCCCCACCAGGGGGCGCGCTCTACATTGTAAGTCCAGCGTATAGCTAGATCTCCAAAATGGTGCTGTACTTCTGTCCTTTCAATAATTTTTTCTAATATTTTACTGGCACCTTTAAAGGTTGTTCCATTGTCTGATACTACTAATGCTGGAACTCCTCTCCTTGCAGTGAACCTTTTGAAACACCTTATGAAAGCCTGGGATGTTAAATCATTTACTAGCTCCAAGTGAACTGCTCTCGTTACACAACAAGTGAAAAGTGATATCCAAACTTTCTGCTTGCAAGCATCCTTTTCCTTCTCCTTCACAAACAGGGGTCCTGCATAATCTACCCCAGTATGTACAAACGGTGGAGTCTCTTGAACTCTAAATGAGGGCAGTGGTGGTGGTGGTGCCTGTAAGTGCCGTGACTGAATTACTCTACATGTTTTGCATTTATGCAACAGCTTCTTTATTAGGGATCGTCCTCTAATTATCCAATATTGTGACCGTACCTCCGTCAGAGTGTCTTTAATTCCATTGTGCATCACTCTCTCATGTGCTTTGACTATGACCAGTTGTGTGAAATGATGCTGTCGTGGAAGCAATATAGGGTACTTGCTTTCTTCTGTCATATTTGAGTTGCCCAATCGTCCGCTACATCTCCATATTCCATCCTTACCTTCAAACAGAGCAAATTGAACTTTCCATTCCTGAAATAACATATCATTCATAACCGTCTTTTGAGCTTCTTTGATCCATATCTGTTCTGCTCTCCTCCTATCATCTGTTTCATTTGCTTCAATCTTACACATTTTCCCAATCACCTTCAATACCAATGACGTTAACCTCAATAGTTTGGTAAGCCTACTGAAAGCTTCTCCTTTCACAGGCTCCACTGTTTTACCTATAGCTAATTTAGCATATGATTCCCCTTTGTCATTCTTTGCTCTTTCTTCCTGTAACTCAACTTTCTGCTGTAGTACTTCACTATTAGAGATAAATTTTCTAAGATTGAAACCTGCCTTGCTCAATAGTTGTTTTGTGGTGTAAAAAATTTCCTCTGTTGCTTCTTCAGTGTGAGCACCACTGACTACGTCGTCCACATATATCGCATCCATTAGCTTTGGTACTATCTCGGTGTACTCGTCCACAAACTGTTCCAAATGAGTACGCACTGTGGCATTTAGAAGAAAAGGACTACAGTTGACACCAAACATAACTCTGGTAAAACGAAAAACTGCTATATCTGATGGGTCGTCTAAGCTGGAGATCCACAAAAATCTTAGAACATCCCTATCCTGC